TACTGCCATCATATCTACTTAAGAGAGCGACCTGTGAGTTGTAGGGCAGTAACTACTATGCTTTATTTTGGACTAAAGCACGGTTTTTAAAGACATTTTACTTATCAGGTGGAAATCTGGATTCACTCAACTGTAAAAAATAGTTACCTTTTGCTGATTCCCTGTTCATAACAAAAGTTAGCACTGAACAAGAGAAAGGACAAGAAGAAACTGACAAGGTCCGGAAACTGCATATTTTATACATAGTACATAAGATTTGAATTTTTATTCTCTCCCATGAAAACAGACATAAAATTACTAATTTCTAGCAACTAGAGGCTTAAAAAATAAACCAGAGAAAGAATAATCTCAAATTGCTGACAGGTTACCTCTTTCAGATGAATTTAAATGGAGAAGAATGAGTATTTCATGCCATCCAAATTATATTAGTTACCAATGATCTGAGGTTAAAAAAACCAAACTGAGTGTTCGAGTATATACTACATACACACATTTCCAGCAAACAGCCACAGATCTTAATGCTGCTGAATACACTCTTCTTTCATGCCTTCAGCTACTTAAACGACAAAACCAACACAAAGACTAACCTGTAAGAGTTTTCTAATATGGGAAACTTACAGGGAATTACCTTTTTTTAAAAAAAATTATGATGTAAAGGAAAAGATAAAGGATAAACAGATCTTCACCCAGTGGAGCAGGCTCAAAGTCACCAATTTGCTTGGTTATTCTAACACCATTAACATGTTGACTCAATTGATTTAGTCAGAATGTTTAACTGACACCCCAAAGGACTTTAAATCACAGAAATGTAGGCCCAGAAACACTCATTAATTTACAACCCAACTCTTGCTTTCACAGATGAAGACTCTGAGGCTCAGAGAACTTAGGTGACCCACTGAAGGTCAAAAGCTATCTGACTCTTTAGAAAAGCCAGAAATGGTTGAGAGATTGCCGTGTTTGGCTCATCGGCATCCAAGAATATCCAATTAATTCCAGGAAAAGCTAATTTTAGTTCACTATGGCCCTGGAACCCAGAAATGAATATGCCTGTAGCCTAACAAACTTCAAATGAAGACAGAGCTATAAGATCAAGTCAGCTCTAATTCAGAGCCCAAAACTCACCCACCACTACACATAAAGAAGCTAGAAGATATTTTAAGAAACAGCTCTGCAATTAATAATAAATGAAAATAGCCAGATTGATACCTGAAGCCAGCAGTCCTCAACCTCTGGTGCATATCAGAATCAGTCTTTAAAAATATATATATATACATATATATATGTATATATATATATATATATGTATATATGTAAATGGTCTTCAAAGACCGAATATGTAGGTCTACCTACTACAGTGTCAAATACCTGTACATCGAGGTTCTCATGAGCACTATGGTTTCAAATCTCATTTCCAGCAATGTCATTATTCTGCAAACATTACATATATAGGTATATATTAGATTTGCCCTAGTAAGGCTGTTAAGTTTCATCTCACGAATGAAACCAGGCATGCACAGAAGGCATCATATTACACCACAACAGTAGCAGTATCAGTTTTAACTCTTAACCCGGTAAGGAAGAAGACAACTGAGTCACAGGACTTGAGGCACTCTAATTTTATGGAAACAAAAAGGCTGGTCGCCACCTGCTTTCTAACCAGGAATTTAGGAACATACCAAGTGTTTATGACACCAGGAAATGCATGAAGCAGAGAAAGTTTACATCATCTGCCCTTCTAGGCACGTGATGTAAGAGTGTTTTGGATAAGATATTAACTTTAGTAACAGGATATTTTCCGTTTACATCTTCTATAAATGTCCCTTAAGTTTACGCCAGGTGGTTACAGGAAGATTCTGCAGCTCCCCAGGGCAATGGCAAAGAATGTTGCAGTGTTTCTGAGGAGCCTCATTTGCCTGATGCATGACTGTTAAAGGTACATTTCCCTACACAACACTAAATCAGTTTTCACGTTTGCATATTCCAGGTTTACTCAGGAATGCTCAACTTAAGAATCACAGGTGGTTGCTCAGTAAATAAAAGGCTCCCCAAAGGTTAGGTTTTATAATGCTTCCTGAAATTTACAGCTCCACTTTGCCAGCCTGTTTGAATTCAGATGACTCCAAGTTGATCCCAATATTATAAATCAAAGTAACTCAGAAGAGTATTATTCTATTTTAACACTTTTACAGCTTACTCCATGCAAAGTGAAGTACTATTTCTATGCTTTCTATTAAAAAAAAAAAAAAAAAAAAATCCCTCTGCGCCGGTGTTTCCTCGTGCGGCGTGAACCTGAGGACATCATGTTATGAAGAAATGGGGGGTTTGGTGATTCGCGGGATCAGAAATTTCAACGTAGAAAACAGAGCAGAGCGGGAAATCAGCAAGATGAAGCCCTCTCCCGCTCCCAGGCACCCTTCTACATAGCCTCCTGCAAATGCAGATGCGTGTCAATCCAGAAATTAAGGGAGAGATTGCTCGTAAAGATGACAAACTACTGTCGTTTCTAAAAGATGTGTATGTTGATTCCAAAGATCCTCTGTCTTCCGTGCAGGTAAAAGCTGCTGAAACACATCAAGAGCCAGAGGAATTCAGATTGCCAAAAGGCCAACACTTTGATATAATAAATATTAAGAGCGTTCCCAAAGGCAAAATTTCTATTGTGGAAGCATTGACACTTCTCAATAATCATAAACGTTATCCAGAAACATGGACTGCTGAAAAAATGGCACAAGAGTACCTTTTAGAAGAGAAAGATGTGAATTCCCTTCTTAAATATTTTGTTACTTTTGAAATCAAAGTCTTCTCTCCTGAAGACAAGAAAGCGATAGAACCAAAATGAAGAAAATCACAAAAATTTGCTATGTGTACTCATCTTTCATCCTGTATATTTTCTCATTTTTTGCATATTAACTTATGTTAATTACCAAGTGTTTCATGCTCTTATTGTAAGAACATACTCTTAATGTTTGTTGAGCTCCCTGACTTTTCAAGATTGCCATAGCATGTATTTTGTTTTAATTTTGTAGGAATATTTCATGTGTACATGTCAGCATGACTATCAGCACATCTGTACCTTTATTATAAGTAAAAGAATTAATATGTTGTTTTAGGCACATCATGCCAACTTTTAAATTGGTCATACGACCCCTTGGGAAATGTCCTGAATCCGTCATTTAAGTTTTACTTTCCATGTTAAGTGTTTAGTTCATTCTTCATATGTGATAGTGAAAATAAAAGCTTTCATGATTCTAAAAAAAAAAAAAAAAAAAAAAACAGCAAGGATTTTAGCAGGATTTCCTTCGGCAGTAAACTCATCAGTTTTATTAAAATATCAAACACTTTTTAGCCTAATTTAGACTAACAAGTTTACATGCACAACACTGCCATCCCAAACGAAAGCTAACGTGGATAAGCCAAGTGCATCCCCCCACTTCAACATTAAACAGACATACGTGCACAAGCCTTGGCTAAATGATAAATTCTAATCACTTAATGACAGGCCAGTTTTGATCAAATAACAGATAAATTTAAGAGTCATGTCTTTGGAATCAGTCATATCCCAGCAGTTCCAGTCCTGACTCAGATACAATTGGGATGTGATCTTAAGCAAAGTACCCTGCTCTCTCTGGGCCTCAGTTTCTTCATTTGAGAAGACTGGAGGTGTTAATAGTGGTTGCCTCTTCTCTCTGTCGTGAGGACCAAAGGAGATAATGACTGCCAAGCACTTCCACAGTGCCTGGCACAGAGAGCACTCCACTAACGTTAGCTGCTGTTCTTAGGAGGACCGCGTCCCTTCCCAAGTCCCCGCCACACATCCAAAACACACAAAGCAAAACTCTTTAAACAGGAAACACAAAGAAAGAGCTTTAATTCTGCAAGGTCCCTCCGACTGCAGGCTCTGCATCCTCCAGTTCCTCAAATGAATGAATGAGCGCCTAGGAGTGGCTCTGCAAATAGCTGTCTCTTAGGAAACACCTTTGCCGACTTTAAGGTAACTGTCTTTCACCATCAATTAAACACCTACAAGTACACCCAGAGCGAGGCACAACAGTCGTGCAAATTTCAGCGGAGACACCGAGTCCAGGCGAGCCCTTCATGCCCACAGGCAACCTCCATTCATTCTCCACGCCCCTCTGCCCCAACACCTCTCTTTAAGTTCTGGAAGCAGTCCCACCCCCGCGACCCTTCCCCTCCCGCCGAGCGTCTCTACCCTGCCCTCCGCACCTCGCATGAACCTGTCACCCCACCAAGTGAGGGGCTGGCGGAGGGGCCCACCTCACCCCTGCCGGAGGGACAGAGGCCATGGGTGCAGCGGACCCTCGGACGCCCAGGAGGAGAGAAGTGCCCGGTCCGGCCCACCTCTCCTCCCCAGGGACCCGCCAGTCCCGGCCGGGCCCGCCGGAGATAGCGCGTAATATGAGGGAGGGGAGAGCCCTTCGAACCCCCCTTCTCCGGGCTCCCTACCAAGCAAATGAGCCTCTCGCTCCAGCCCCTCCGAACCTCCCCGACTGAGGTGATGGTGCTGGGACTGCCCCAGAAAGCCCCCATAAAAAGGAGGGGGAGACACCCCCATACTCACCCACCGTCTCCTCCCCCTCAGCTGTTTACCTCACAGTCCCTCCAGCCTACAGGGCGCCGCCATCTTGGACGTACAGCACCTCCCCCGTCGTGAAAGGGCCCAGTCCGACAGAGGCCTCCGCCACGAAAAAGAGTTCCCCTCCGCGCCTCGTCTCCTTCTGGAAACGAAGTACAGACGGCCGCGCTTGGCAGCCGCGCGGGAAAGAAGAGGCCCTTCCACTCATAACCGATGATGTGGGTTGGACGGGAAAAAAAGCAAGGAGGGTTTTGAATGGCAGGGGGGGCGGGGCCGGGCGGAAGGATCCCGAAAGGAGGCTGCTGAGAGATCTTGTGACTCCGCGAAGGAGGCAAAAAGAAGGGCCGGCGCGGCGGGAGGAGCCACGCGAGAGCCCGAGGGGCGGGGCGGGAGGTCACGTGACGGGCGGGCGGGAGGCACCGCGGCGAGGCGTAAACAAGCTGGCGGCGGCTGGGTGTGGTTGGAGCGCCTTCCCGCTTGCCGCTGGAGTTGTTTCTGCCCTTCGCGCGCCTGGCGCCCCCTCGAGTGTCCCTGTGGGCGGCTACAGAGCGGCGATCCTGTTTCCCGAGGAGCCCGCGTGGGTGAAGGGCCTGCTTGGGAGCCTTAGGGGAGTTGCAGCTCACCAGGGAAGGGGCGGAAAGCCGGGGGTCAGGGCAGCCTCCTTCCTGGGCTGAGCGTTTGCAGAAGCCCGCCTCCGGGATTGCGGGGGACCCCCCTGGCTTCTGCCTTCAAGTAGCTCACACTTCACACCTAGTCATGACGTCTAGAGAAAACCAGCCCTAGTAGGAGGCAGCTTTCAAATCTGAACCCCTTGTGGCGTTCCCTGCCGAAACAAAGCTTGAAGCCGTCTAAGCTTCAGTTTCTTGACATGGGCGCAATGACATTTGTGACGTGAGGAATCAAAGAGATGAAGTATAGACAGCGTTGAGCCCAGAGCCCTGCGCCTAGGAGATGCTCTCTCGCTAGGTAGGTGGCCTTTGTCGCGAGGCTGGATGTGATGAGCTCCAGCACGAACAGGAAGCGCTGTGAGAGGAGGCACAGTGCCATGAAGTCGAACTATGGGATCTGAAAGGCATTTTGAAGGAGTGGGCATCAGGCTGGGTTTTAAAGGAAAGGTAGGTTTTATGACTTATTTTGGTCCCTATCCACGAGCCCCCAACCCTCCCCGGCCCTTGAGCAGTGAACAGCCTTCATAACCATAGGTCTAGAACCATGAAGGCTTAGGAGGGAGGTGGAAATTGACCTGCTGATCCCTCTGTTTTTGCCATTAAAACCACGATGAGTTTTGCAACCAACCTAATAGAACCAGGGTAGGTGGCTGGGGAGAGAAGGCCATTCCAGGCAGACGGCACCAAAGGAACAAGAGGCTAGGGGCAAGAAAGTGCTGAGTGACTTGTGGGAATAACAGGTTTTGTCTTGGGAACTAATTGCGTCACAATGCAAGGCAGCCATGGTTAAGGAGGGGCCAGGTGTGTGAGTAGCCAGCACCGTGGGGGCTGTCAGAATACTAAGCAGACCCCGGATGGTCCAGGGTAGGGCCGCTGCTAGCCAGTATAGGGCCTTGGTGAGAATTAGAAAAATGGCACCCCTGGGCTGTATTTTGGTCCCTATCCACTGGCCCCCAACCCTCCCGGGCCCTTGAGCAGTGAACAACCCTTATAACCATAGGTCTAGAACCACGAAGGCTTAGGAGGGGGACGTGGACATTGAACTGGTGATCTCTCTGTTCTAACAGTCACTGGGGGAAGCCAAGAGTTCTAGATTCAAACAGACCAGAATTTGAATGTAGGTTTCAGCCATCATACTATACTAACTGGATGAGCCTTAGTCTCCTCACCTGCAACATAGAAATAATAATAATGCGGCCGGGCGCGGTGGCTGAAGCCTGTAATCCCAGCACTTTGGGAGGCCGAGGTGGGTGGATCACGAGGTCAAGAGATCGAGACCATCCTGGTCACCGTGGTGAAACCCCGTCTCTACTAAAACTACAAAAAATTAGCTGGGCATGGTGGCGCGTGCCTGTAATCCCAGCTGCTCAGGAGGCTGAGGCAGGAGAATTGCCTGAACCCAGGAGGCGGAGGTTGCGGTGAGCCGAGATCGCGCCATTGCACTCCAGCCTGGGCAACAAGAGCTAAACTCTGTCTCAAAAAAAAAAAAAAAGAAAGAAATAATAGTAATGCTAGCTCATGGTGATTTGGGGTGGATTCAGTGAGACGTTAAGCTCTAAGGGACGCAGAACCTACTCCAGTTAGTGTTACTCTTGTTAACTGTTAAGGGCCAGCTGTCAGCATCCATCACTCCCAGAAGCAGGTCTGCCAAACACAAAATTCTTCTGTGTCACCACCCAAGCATAGTCTGCGTGGGGTCCAGAGGTGGAAAGGTTGAGGGAGACAGAGAAGGGTCTGGGTTATCTCAGTTCTACCAATCTACAAACTACTTCACAGGAACAGACTCTTCCCTTTGCATTCACACCAAGGCAGGGATTCAGGTGTGTTCAGAGATTTCGGAGACCATCAGTGATGGGAGACCTAAGGAGGAGGGTAGCAGCAGTGCTGCTGTGGAGCTCGGACCCAGGAAGCCCCCACACCCTGACTTTCCTTGGCTCCATGACCTCATCCTGCAGGAATGCATCTGGCCACAGAGCGGAGCAGCCATACACAGAGCTCATCAATTGCTTGTTTTCCAGGGGTCATAACCACATTGTCACTGTACACTGTCTGGAAGAAGAATGGTCATTGTTATCTCAAGACAGACCACCAGTGGCTCGTGAGAAGAGGCTGGAGATGACAGGCAGAGACAGCCCTACCACCATCTCCCACCACTTAACCAGGCTGGGCTACTTAGATGTTTTCTGCTTCTCTGGGGTTGATTTTTGTCATTTGCTTAACAGACACTAATCAGACCGCTACCTTCCACACACCACCCTGGAGCCTCCCTGTGACAGGGGACTTTCTGACCAGCCTGTCTGAGCATAGAAGGGCTGAGCCCTGCATAGGCAGGTGGTACTAACAGGATGCATGTCATGGAGGACATCTGCTGCATTTGGCTGTGTGACGTCTCCCCCTTGCCTTCTGAAGAGGTGAGTCCGTCCTTCCTTCCCGGAGTATGGCTGGTGGGATTGGCCAGCACTCAGCTATTGTTACAGGTGCATGCTACTCAGGTCTTCCATTTCGTGTGCCTATTAAGCTAGGTTACAGTTTGTCCACAAGGACTCAAATATTTAAGTACGGAATCCTTCTCAGGCCATATTTAGTTCACTTTAACAAGCTGAAATGGTTGGTCCACAGTGGACCTGTGACTTGAGCTGGGTTAGAGTGCTTCTCTGGGTCTTAAAAGATAGATGTTTTGTTTTGTTTTTTTAAGTGATTTTTCTCTTTCTTCTAGGGTCATTAAACTGGGATGAGGAAGCTGTGGCCTCTCCCTTCCTCTGGCCGACAGCAAGCTATGTGACAAGTTGGGTTAAAGAGTGAAAGAGACAGAGACAGAGATGGAAAGAGAAATTCATGCTCCTATCTCTTTATTTCCGGAGTCCCTGAAGCCAGCTTTGCCCTGGCCTTCCAAGTTCCGTGAAGCAATAACTATTTTGGCCAGTGCTAGTTTCACTGGATTTCTGTTCCTCATAAACAAAAGGCCTGGATGTAGTGGGATTCAGAGACCTTTGGAAGGACACCACCAGTCAAAATACTGTTCATCCACTTGAATTGCTTTTTGGCTTTAGCTTTCAGCTATCTGTGCGGCAGCCTCCTGGCCAGGAGCCCTGCCAACAGCGGGCATCCCCAGCAGGATGGGGTCTGAGCTTTGCTGGCGGTCCCCAAGGCCTACGGCAGCCCTGGCCTCTCTAGCCCATCAGCTTCCCCTTGCTATCTAGCACCGTGTCCTCTAGTACCAAGGAGCGCCCGGAGGCTTCACACCGCCCTGCCTTGGCTAAGGCCGTCTTCTCTGTCTCCGCACCAGATGGCATCTGCAGCCTGTGCTGGTCATTCTCCATTTGCCCTTCTCTGTCTGGGCTCCCCTCTAAGCCTCACCTGCTAAGCAAGTCCTCTCCCTCCTCTTGCATTTGACCGAAGTGTGGCAGGGTCAGGGGAGCAAGGAAGAGCCTTCCCACCGGGCCTGGCCTGGCCGTGATGCACAGCTCCTGCTGCGTGGCCTGTCTTGGTGTTAATAATGGTTCCCCCAACTCACTCTTCACACTCAGAGGTGATCACGGATCCCCACAGCTCACTAGTCCTTAGATGCTTCAGCACCTCTTTTTTTCTCTGAAGCTGCTCACACCTGTCTTTTTAATTATCCCTTGCAGGGTGTTTCTGTTTCCCACCAGGATCCCAGCTGCTATAGCTACAGCCCTTTCTTAGAGAATCTGCCTTCAACCTGGGCTACTCACTCTGAACCAAGCCAAACCCACAGATGCTTACACACACACCTCTGACTGGACCTGGATTCGGGCTGAAAACCTTCCTCACACTGAGCCAGCCAGATTCTCCTTCTTGAGAATTTGCACTAAGAGACCCCAAGCCTGAGACATATGGCATTGGTCAAGGGTTGAAACTTTACACAACTGCAGGCGGACTATTCAAACTGCTGTGCTCCAGAAGAGGCAGGTCACTTAGAAAATGCCTCAGACAGGTGCCCTTGGCGGTTGTGCAATAAGAAGGGACCGTGCTGTTCCCTGCGGGGGAAGGGGGAGTCACGTGGAGTTGGATCCAGCCATGGCCACCAGCACTCTGGACAGCAGAGTTAAGCAGGAGGAGCTGCTAAGAGCCTTGCTGAGGAAGCCAGCATGCCCAGACCAGCAAGGAGCAGCTGTGGTAACGGAGAGGAAGGAGAGCTGCAGGACTTGCCCATTGCCCAGGAGGCCTGCTTAGGTCTGGAAGATGCCCCTGTGTCTTTTCAATAAATTCCACTTTTTCATGCCTGTAATCCCAGCACTTTGGGAGGCTGAGGCAGGAAGATTGCTTGGGGGCAGGAGTTAGAAGCCAGCCTGGGCAACATAGCAAGACCCCATCTCTACAAAAAATAAAAATTAGCCAGACATGGTGGCATGATACTTGGGCGGGTCAGACAGGAGGATCACTTGAGCCCAGAACGTTGAAGCTGCAGTGAGCCATGGTTGTACCACTGCATTCCACCCTGAATGACAGAGTAAGACACTGTCTCTAAAAGATGAACACACGCACAGACACACACCACTTTTACCTGAGCTAGTTGTTCGGTTCTGTTCCTGGCAACCAATGCCACAACCGAGGCCAGAGATGGCCAAGAATGCTTTCCTTTCTTCTTTATCCAGATCACACTTGTTCCTCCAAGACTCAACTCCAATGTGATCTTCACCAGGAAGTCTTCTTGGGACCCCCAAGATGGAATAAAGGCCCCTGACCTGACTCCACTACTGCTGCCAAATGCACACCTCCATTCCTTCCACTGAACCACCTGCTTACTCAGGTTGTACTATGGGCCAGTCTCCCAAGTTCTCAAGAACTCTGCTGCCCCCAGGAGGTGGGGTGGATAATAGGGCCCTTGAAACGTCTAGTTCAAGGTCAAAAGACAGGAACAGAGTGGGACTGGTGGCTCACACCTGTAATCCCAGCACTTTGAGAGGCCGAGGCAGGTGGACCACTGGAAACCAGGAGTTCAAGACCAGCCTGAGTGACATAATGAGACCCCCATCTCTACAAAAAAAATTTAAAATTTAGCCAGGCATAGTGGTACAGACCTGTAGTTCCACCAACTTGGGAGGCCGGGGTGGGAGGATCACTTGAGCCCAGGAGTTGGAAGCTGCAGTTAGCCGTGATCCTGCCACTGCACTACAGCCTGGGCAACAGAGTGAGACCCTGTCTCAAAAAAAAAAAAATTCAGCCAAGAACAAACCTTTCAAGACTAAGGCTAAGTAGGAGCAGTATGAGGGGCCAAGAGCTATTCTTGCTGCATGGATTGCTGTCCATGGCAGCTGAAGTGCCCGCAGGACTGGCGCCATCTTGGTTGGCTGTTATTTCAATAAATGGAGTGAAATGTATTGTCTCACGGTTCTAGAAGCTAGAAGTCCAAGATCAAGGTGTTGTCAGGGTTGGTTCCTTCTGAAGGCGTAGAGGGAGATCTGGTCCATGCCTCGCCCCCAGCCTCGAGTTGGCTGGCCATCCTGAGGCTCAAGCCCTCTTCCTGCCTCGTTCGTTGGCTTGAGATGCATCACACTGTTCTCTGCCTTCGTGTTCACATGACATTCTCCCTGTGAGCTTTCTGTGTCCAAAATTACCCCTTATTGTAACTACATCAGTAACATCGAATTGGGGGCCCACCGTCTTCCAGCATGACCTCAACTTAACTAATTACACCGGCAACGACCTTATATATAGTCACATTCTGAGGAACTGCAAGTAAGGACTTCAACATGTCAGTGTTTGGGGGAATTAATTCAGCCCATAACAGGTACCAAGGGCTGAGTTTGTCACATCATTATCCGTGGTTTGTGAAGGGGCCCTCTCTAATTTTTATACTTGCATTTGTTTGTTACCTTTTTTTATTTTTAATTTTTATTTTTTCTTGAGTTGGAGTCTTGCTCTGTTGCCAAGGCTGGAGTGCAGTGGCACGATCTCGGCTCACTGCAACATCTGCCTCCCAGGTCAACCTCTGCCTGCCTCAACCTCCCAAGAAGCTGGGATTACAGGCGTGAGCCACCACACCTGGCTAGTTTTTATATTTTTGGTAACAATGGGGTTTCACCATTTTGGCCAGGCTGGTCTTGAACTCCTGACCTCAAGTGATCCGCCTGCCTCGGCCTCCCAAAGTGCTGGGATTACAGGGGTGAGCCACCCCGCCCAGCCCCCTTCGTTCCCTTTTATCTTCGTTTTCCACAACCAGTTTCCCCCTTGCACATAAGCAACCATTGTCATGTATATCATGTGTATCCTTTTGTCTGTATGTATCCTTGCAAAATGTGTATTTTTAATTTATGTAAGTGGAATTATATTATAGGTGGCAATCTGTTTCTTACTTTTTCTCCCCATTCAGCATCATTTTGAAGCTCCATCTAGCTGCTGAGAATTATTCCGTGATGTGAACCTGCCCTAATCTGCTTTCCATTCCCTCAGGGATTAACTGCAGTAGCGCCAGAAGCGACTTTGTGATGAGCATCACTACAGACCTTACACTATGCTGTTCCCTTATGGATCCAGCTCAGAATTTATTTGGGATACACAACCAGGAGTAAAACTGATGGCTCATAGCATACATGGACTTACTCTTTTTTTTCCTTTTCTTTTTCAGACAGGTCTTGCTGTTGCCCAGGCTGGAGTACACTGGCTCAAACACAGCATATGCAGCCTCTACCTCCTGGGCTCAAGGGATCCTTCCCTCTAAGCCCCTGAGTAACAGGACCACAAGCTTGTGCCACCACGCCTGGATTTTTTTTTTTTTTTTTTTTTTAGAGATGGGTCTTGTCATGTTGCTCAGACTATACTTTTTTTTTTAGACTTACTTTTTTTTTTAAGTTCCAGAGTACATGTGCAGGATGTGCAGTTTTGTTACACAGGTAAACGTGTGCCATGGTGGTTTGCTGCACCTGTCAACCCATCACCTAGTTATTAAGCCTAGCATGCATTAGCTTTTCCTGATGCTCTCCCTCTCCCTGCCGGCCGACAGGCCCCAGAGTGTGTTGTTCCCCTCCCCAGGCTCCAGTGTATGTTATTCCTCTCCCTGTGTCCATGTGTTCTCATTTTTCAGCTCCCACTTGTAAGTGAGAACATGTGGTGCTTGGTTTTCTAGACTTACTTTTAAGATACACCACCGAATTATTCTCTAGGAAGCCTGCCTCAGCCTACGCTTTCACCAGAACCATGCAAAAGTATCCGTATCCCTGTCCACACTTGCTATTGACTAGCTCTTTAATTTTTTCAGTGTAATGGGCTAAAGTGACATGTTCTTGTTTTAATTGGCTTCTCTTTGACTTAATGAATTGGAGCACTTTTATATCTTTGTTATGAGTCTGTGGGTTACTTTCTCTATAGGTAGCTGGTTCTTATCTTTTGACCATTTTCCCAGTACAGTTACTATCTCTTTCTTGATTTGCTGAAGTGCCCTGTGTATTCTATACAAGTGTTCCTTGTTGGTTATAGATATTTCTTTTTTATTTTTATTTTTTGAGACGGATTCTCGCACTGTCTCCTGGGCTGGAGTGCAGTGGCACAATCTCAGCTCACTGCAACCTCCACCTCCTTCCTCTTCAAGGAAATGCATATATAAATTTCCTACAGTAGGTATAATGTTTTCTGTAAGACTGGTATATGACTTTTACCAAATTAAAGAATAGATGTGGACCTCATCCATTGCTTTTTCTGCATTCATCGAATAGTCAAAAATATCTTTATTTTAGCCTATCATGTGGTGAAGTACACAGATATGTTTTTTAATAGTGATTTATCTTTGCACTTCTAGGACAAGCACAACTTGATCATGATGTATTTTTTTAAATGCTTGTTGGATTTGGTTAATTCATGTTTTATTAAGGATGTTTGCATTTATTTTATATGTTTGCAGTTCTTTTAATTGGAATGTATAGACCATTTACATTTAATGTAATTATCAGTGTAGTTGGCTTAAGTTTACCTTCTCGATATTTGCTTTCTATTTTTCCATCTGTTCTTTGTTCCTTTCTTTTGTCTTTTTCAGTCTGCTTTTGGATTAATTTAGCATTTTTTAGAATTCCATTTTA